CGGAATTATTTTAATGTAAATTGCAACAAAATCATACACATACGCAACAGATGGAAGATAAAAACAAATCCGTATTTCAGCAGTATCTGATGGGAAACGGAGTTATTTTCTAAAAGCCTCACAATGGTGAATGGTAACTGGATAACTATCATTCTGGCCTTTTGTTTTATGTCCTTTTTTCTTACTAATTAAACACCACAAATATTTAGTTTACTATTTAAAGTCCCCCTTGCCCCCATTTTTTTTTGTACCATCTACATGAATGTTCAACTGCTTGTTCTTATTTTGTTTTTAAAAATAGATTTAAACAGTCAAGTTCTTTATGGTTTTTAAGCTTTTTTCAATAGTAAAAAAGAGGAAACTTTCTTCTAGATGCTGCACTGATGGAAGCTCTTAGAATTTTGTTTTTGAAGGATTGTATGTCTGTACAGCATCACATAAGAAGTGCCTCCTAGATTGGGCCAATGGGCCCATCTAGCTGAGCATCCTGTCCTCACAGAGGCCAACCAGATTCCCATGGGAAGCCCAAAATCAAGACCCTAGCACAAGAGCACCCTCCCCACTTGTGATGCCCAGCAACCGGAATCACAATTTGAGTATCAAGAGGCCCGGGGCTTATTTTCACCCTGGAGCACTTAATGGTCCTTGGCCTTGTCTACCAGCCTGCATTACCGCAGCACAGAGTGCTCCTCTTTGAAATTACGAATCAGCAGTTTTAGCTTAGCATTATAAAAGTACAACAATCAAACCTCCTAGTGTAGGGGGTGCTAGAATGTTCTGGAATACCAGGTATTACTTGGATTCCAGTCTTTTCACCCAGCAAGTGTTACTGCCAAGAGAGGAGCGTTCGCCACAGAAAGACACGGCAAATAAAATATGACCACTAGCCCTTAGTACGGACCTACGACCGTTTTCTATTCAGCTAAAAGTTGGTAGCTCTAATATTGTTCAGCCATGCAACAATTACAGCATCTTCCTAATATGTTCAATACACTATAAAATACCTTTACATAGCTTCCTTTAAGATAGGCTTCCTTATTCTTTCTTTGTAACCTATAACTCCCCCAGTTCCTTATATTTTGACATTCTTCTCTATACATCATATTTATCATTGTATTTAAAAAAAAATAAAAATAAAAAATAAACACAGATGAAGTGCCCAGAGTAGAACATCACACTTTTTGGTGCAATGCACCAGAGCCTTATAGCCAGGGAATATTACCGCCCTAAATTATTTGTGGTGTATCTGAATATGCAGCCCTAAATCTGTTGCCCTTCTATATACCACTGCTACATTTTGTGTCTCGTTCATTGGATGCTCTTTGAATATTGGTCCTGCTGCAGTTTATCCACTTTTTAGAATGATCCTGGATGATAACAGCTTCACTGCCATTTTCTTATTTCTCAGCAGAAACTTTTGTCAGTACCATTAACTGGACTGTTTTAAATCAACATTTTCATAGCAATGGGTATATATATATATACAGAGAAATCTATTCTTGGTACATTTGAATGACTACAGTTTCAATGTTTACACAATTTTCATCTCAAAATTTCTTTTTCACGCTTACTCCTGACAGGTGTCAGCCATAGAACAATTCAGATATCACTCTAAATTTTATTATGCATTCAGATAATATATCATCATACAGCCCAAACTTTAAAACACACTCCTTTTCCCAGTGTCTTGGGAAAATCTGTATATATTGTACATAGTAAAAGAACATAAATAGTTACTTGCTCTTCAACATGGCAAACTACTGATGCTTCCAAACACTTTCCAATAGGTGGGAACAAACTCCCTTTTTGTGTAATTCATACTCATGCAATGAGAGGTGAATCTGTCATTCTTGCTATAAGAAAGTTATACATCATGTTCCTGTATTGCCATCGTCATGACCATCCTCTTGAATTTAAATCCTTACTCTATTGTCTCTATGAGATGTGTGCAGAGTATTTTGTTTCATATTGAAAAGTTTTATCAATTTCCCCTTCAACTCCTAGCTGTGTGTGTATATCCTATGGTTATCTGTATGTATTTTTTTTATTCTAATAAAATATTTATAACATTGAAAAATGTCTGTGTTGCATCATGTTGCTATAGAATCATAGACATTTCGTATTAACATTGCAGGCATGTACAGGTCTATTCCTTATGCTCATAAGAATAGCCTGGCAAATGATACTTCTCTCCTTTTTGGTCCATAAATGAGTTAAGCTGGAGTGTTTTGATTTAAGCCAGTGGTTTTTAAACTGCATTTCCAAGAACTGTGGCATTCTAAATTCCCTCAATGAGCTGATCGGTACTGAGACAATTCCTGAATAGCAGCCTCCCCAACACTCCTGGTCTTCAGTTAAATAGAACATAGCACTTTTAAAATTTATTTAATTTTCGAAAGTTTAACATATGTGCTCTAATACATAGTTTTTTCTTTTGTTTTGTCAATTTCCCATCCTGTTTTCCATGATGTTTTTTATTTCTCCCCCTTTGCTGTACTCTATCTTCTATCCGGGTTGGACTCGATGGCCCTTGTAGTCTCTTCCAACTCTATGATTCTATGATTCTATGATCCCTTATACCATAACAACAAAATAATAATCTCTAATTCCTTCTGTTGCTCATAGTTCAAATCCTGCTTGCGAATTCATCATAGTATAGTATTTATTTAAGCAATCCATAAAAAGGCTTCTGTTCTTCCATAAAACAATCATCATTAGGTTCTCTTATTTTGGCTCTTAACTTTGCCAATTCTGCATAGTCCATCACCTTGCTTATCCATTCTTCTTTGTTGAGAACTAAATAGACCATATCTTGTCAATGTTGAAACAACTGGCTACTGCACATTCCAGTGTGCTGGGTTTTGCCCATAAGGCCCTAAATAGCTTGGGATCCGGCCATTTCCTCCTGCATGAACTTTCCTCAAACACCTCCCACTGTCTGAAATAAGGTGGGTGATACTTGTGGAAAGGGCCCTTTCCTATTGTAGCACCCTGACTGGGGAACACTTCCCAGGTAAGCTTACCTGGCACTGATTCTGGTGTCGTCTTTGGGCCATTTTAATGCAAATTCTTGGATCTTTTAAAAAAGTCTTGCTTGTTTTGATGGCTGATGCTATTTTAAAACGATCAATATATTTATGCCTTTATGAAAGAGTTAAAGAATACTTCAGTCCGTTGGCATATTCTGGGCTCGGTTGCCTGATGACACCCAACAGACCTGGCCAGGGTCCTACAGAAACCAGTTTATACGCACTGGAACATGAACCCAAAGTAAAACATTTTAAACCAAGAAATTAGGATGTCTAAACAGTATCTAAATTAGGATGTCACTACTGATGAGACTGGCAACACAATCCTATACATGTTCACTCAGTTGTAAGTTCCATTGAGTTCAATGGGGGTTACTGTCAAGTAAATGGGTTTGGATTCCCACCTAAATCGTTTTACATGTTGAGTATTTGGGGCTAATTTGTGGATTGGAGAACTGTGCACAAGGATCCTTTCTTTCCTTCTAAAAGCCATCTTGCAGTCTAGCACTCTTAATATGAACATTGCCTACTATAAAGTAGAAAGAAAGAGTGCCCCCAATTTGTTTTCCTGCTTATTTCCAACTAATGGCCTGTTTCAGTATTCTTCTTACAAATATAATGATTTTCAGCATATGAGGAAAGAGAAAACAAATTGGCCTTTTCTTTCCTTCCTCATTGCTCTTCACCTTATACTTGACTCGTTGAAACAGCGAGATCCCTTCCTTTGCTGTGTCCCTCTAATCATCGCAAAACATGTCCATGCACAGAAGCCAGACCCACATTATCAAGCCAAACACGAGGGAAACGAAATCCATTTTTGGCTTTTCTGCCTTGTTATAGAATGGGTTTGGGAGTCACTGGGCAATGTTACTAAGAAACAGCACATCCTTCATGTGTTGCCAGTTGCTACCAAGCCCAACATTTAGTCCAATGAAAGAGCCAATTAGAACAAACTGCAGTTACATGGCCTTTACATGAGTATTGTGATGCCGATCCAAGTGCTGGAAGACAAACAAAGTGTTAAGTTCAACATCCATTGACAAGGTGGCATGATAGGAAATTTAATAGCAAACTGGGTGCCAGGTTCTGAAGGACTGAAGAGAGGAACCTTTTGAATGAGATGGGACCCTACGCTTAAGTATCTGCCTATGATTTGCATTTGTTGCAACAGGACTTACACAATAGAAATCATCACTCTACAATTACAAGTGAACAGATGCTGGCTGAAAGCAGGCCCAGTTCAGATGCACTGTTACTGGTTCTTTAAACCATGGTTTGTGAAACTGTGAATACGTATTAAGCCTACACATTTCTCCCTCAGTGCAGAGGTCTTTGTTTGACTAGTTAAACAGATGAGCTGGGATTCAAAACATGAAGGGATAGACGTATATGAAAGCCTTAAGGGACTGTAGCTCCACTTCTAAGAGCTGGTTCAGACATGCAGCACGACTGTATCATCAGGTCATGACTTGTACATGTAAATGACACATCGCAAATTGGGAGCGGGGCAGGAATACCAAGGCAACATTGTTTACATAATACTTGCCTAGTGGTGCAGCAATAAAACTGCCAGCACATTTGCAAAGCTAAGCAGGATCCAGTATGGTTTCAAATTGGATGGGAGACCATATGTTGAGTTTTGATTACCCTCATGGTCCCTTCCAGTTCAATGATTCTATGATTCTTTAAGCATTCTATATAAGCTTGTGGTCTGACTGTCATGCAAACTCCCTTAAGAAGCCCTTTTGGCTGAAACATGATGGCCTACTAATAAATACCCCCACGGTCCTTCATTTTGGTAGTTATTTCCTGGAGGGGTTTTGTTTTTGTGTGTTCTAGATTTGTGATAGGCCAGTTACATGCACAACTTGTGACCTCATAATACACAAGCTGACGTTTTACTGCAATTGGAACTTGCATGTCATCCACTGTTGAGTAATCAACGGTTGTATCCAACTAAACCCTACGCAGAGTTGAACCACTGAAATCAGTACTTAGGTTAGGTATGGCCATTGATTAAGGCTTATTTGGATACAGCCCCAGGTGCTTTGGCTCCTTCTCAAACCAAGCTTATTTTTACAACTTATGGACAGCAGTGTCCCGTGAAAAGATTGGTTCTCTTAGTAAGATACATACTTTTATTTTTTAAAAAATTATACCGTGCCCAACTGGCATAGCTTTCAGAATAGATACTACAGTATCATAAACCATGATAAAAACAAATAATAATAAAGGGAAGGGAAAGGGACCCCTGACCATTAGGTCCAGTCATGGCCGACTCTTGGGTTGCGGCACTCATCTTGCTTTATTGGCCGAGGGAGCCGGCGTACAGCTTCTGGGTCATGTGACCAGCATGACAGCCACTTCTGGCAAACGAGCAGCGCACGGAAACGCTGTTTACCTTCCTGCTGGAGCGGTACCTATTTGTCTACTTGCACTTTGACGTGCTTTTGAACTGCTAGGTTGGCAGGAGCAGGGGCCGAGCAACGGGAGCTCACCCCGATGTGGGGATTCGAACCGCTAACCTTCTGATCGGCAAGCCCTAGGCTCTGTGGTTTAACCCACAGCGCATAATTAAAACAGAAGGGAAGACAAAATAGAAAAGTAACACAGCTGACATATCAAAAGGCCTGTGGACAACAACAAAAAATGCCTTCCCTAGTGCTGGAAAGACATGGCACTGAGAGCAATATCAGCTTTCTTGGGGCGAGCACCAGAGAAGGACTTCTGGTAATAGATTTAGTGTATGTGGTTTATTTAAATATTTCTAGCCCTCCCCTCATTGTCAATGAGTTTCAGGGCCAAGTACCTACCATGAAGCCACAAACAATCACGTTTAATGCAGAGTTCCTTGAGAGCAAATAAAACGTGGTCAAAACAACAAAGTCTACAAGAGAAGAGCAGGTAGCATCCTTCCATCCTAAAGCTGCAAGGCCAAAAGCCAGCAAATACATCTTCAGTGGGTGCTGAAAATAGCAAAGAGGTGGTGTAAATTAAGAGTAGTGCAAGGGAGTAGAATGGAGAGTGGTGCATGAGCAGGTATGGTTGCGTGCAGCATCTTAAGCTGAGAAAAGGCATCCTTTTTTTGTTTCTCAGAAGGTTCAATAAGCAAAAGGTTCACAGAGGTGTAAATTCTTGGGAGCTGTTTGAATTCCTGTTGATAGGAATGCCTCCTGACGGCACAGCTCCTGAATCTTTTAAGAGCTACACCACAGTCAGGAGTTCAAGTGCTGAACATTTACCTGTGGCTTCATTTCTATGACAACCAAACTCTCTCCTTCTGAATTTCTGATATAGCATGTTTTTAAGTGGACGGCTGAAACAACAAGATCTGCAGCATAAGACTAAAAGACAGAACATGTTTACCATGTTATATACCATAGTCATTTTTCAACTTATGACCATACTGCCTTCCATTCACCTGTTCATCCTGTTGATGCTGCCCCTACAAGTACTGTACGATAAGGATTTGGGAATATTGGATTTGTTTTTAAATTTTTTGTTTATTTTTGTTTTTTGATTTTGATGTATTGTGTGTTTTGTTTTTTTCTTTGACTTTGGTTTTTATTGACTTGTATTGTTCAATTGCTATTTATGTCTACCTTTTTCTTTCTTTTTCTTTTTTTCTTGTTTCTTACTTTCTTTCTTTGTAATTTTAAATTCTCAATAAATACCATAAAAAAATAATAATAAGGGTATAGTCCTTATTCACCGCATGCCTTGGAGGGGGGAAAATGGCCTCTCCAGGGGAAGGTAAAATAGCCACACTGGACTAGGCTGATTGAGCTGTAGTCAGAAGCCACTTGGAGGATGGGGCTGAGCCACTGCACTAGCTTTCTAGCAGGTGGATTGCCGCTACTTAACGGGAGGAGGAGAGGTGAGATGGCAAGGAGGTCGGCATGGTGCAGATGCACCAGCAGGAATGCTGGATTAGCTCTGCTGATGCATGCCCCCCTGCAACCCCCCCCCCCCCATTTTGCACCTTGTCCTCACAGTAAACAACAGCAACCCACCTGGCAGTAATCAAGCATAGCCATTCCAGCAGTTTGCTTCTAGTTATAGTTCACAGCATCTGGAGAACAATGGGTTAATTCCACCAAACAGCCAAAAGGCATTTCATAGGCTAAGAAGGAGACAATTTCAGTATCCATATACTTTCTCATGAATGTAAAGATCTTAATTGTGATCATTTGGAGCAAATTTCTTCACCTTGCTGAGCAGCCAGTCCCCAAAGCCTTGAAAGGGTGTAGTTATCTCTGTGTCAAACTGGAATTCCTAACAGAACAAAACTCTTCACACTTTTAAAGTGCATCCAATTCTGGGGGCACTTACCCCTGTGCCTCACAGTTTTCAGAAGTTAATATGCCATTTTACTTTTAAGAAAGATCAGAAATTAACATTTTTGTCCTTTAAAAAGCTGGTAAGCAGCAGCATCAGACAGAAGTGGGCAGCTCCTGACTGCATCTGCATGTAATACCTTAACAACAGGCAGTAAAAACTAGCAGCTCTGTGTGAGAGGATGCATTAATCTGACAGATTTCAGACGGGGAAATATAGCTATGAAATACTGGGGAAAGAAAGAAAAAGAGTTGTGGGGGGAGGCACAGGGAATAAAGAATTGCCCTGCATTATTTTATCCAAATCATCTCCAGGACAGAAAAGCAAAACTTGGCATAGCAAATGCAGATATTTTTACATGTGCATTGTCACTTTTTGATCAAACATAGTAGAAAGTGGAGACATTCTTCATGCTGCTGCACACTTACATCAAGTTACTATATAAACAAAGATGCACTGTCATTATGCCACTTGAGATCTTATTTCGTTCATATTTACCAGCCTCCCTTTTACTTGTATGATAGCAAACTGTCCCGTAGGGATCTTTGCTTTCTGCCTCTCCCTTCGATAGAAACTGCTTCAACCCTAGGGCTGGTTCTGCTTCCTTTTTTTCTTGGCTTTTGGCTCAGAACAGCAGAGAACAATAGCAGGGGGTTCTGAGTTATTTTTCTAGGCTGTTTTTCTTTCCCCCCCTTTTCTGCACTCCCTTCTGTTCCAATGTATGCAACTATCATATGCGTATGATGCAAACGTGGTTCTCCATCTAGTTTTGAACACCAAGGGTTGTAGACAATGCTAGTCCAACTCAGAGTAGACCCATGGAAGTCAATAATAGGTTTATGATTTATGTTTGGAGCCCGTGGTGCTTGTTGTTGTTGTTTAGTTGTTTAGTCGTGTCCGACTCTTCGTGACCCCATGGACCAGAGCACGCCAGGCACTTCTGTCTTCCACTGCCTCCCCACAGTTTGGTCAAACTCATGCTGGTAGCTTCGAGAACACTGTCCAACCATCTCATCCTCTGTCGTCCCCTTCTCCTTGTGCCCTCCATCTTTCCCAGCATCAGGGTCTTTTCCATGGAGTCTTCTCTTCTCATGAGGTGGCCAAAGTACTGGAGCCTCAGCTTCACGATCTGTCCTTCCAGTGAGCACTCAGGGCTGATTTCCTTCAGAATGGATAGGTTTGATCTTCTTGCAGTCCATGGGACTCTCAAGAGTCTCCTCCAGCACCATAATTCAAAAGCATCAATTCTTCGGCGATCAGCCTTCTTTATGGTCCAGCTCTCACTTCCATACATCCCTACTGGGAAAACCATAGTTTTAACTGTACGGACCTTTGTTGGCAAGGTGATGTCTCTACTTTTTAAGATGCTGTCTAGGTTTGTTATTGCTTTCCCGTGGTGCTTAGAGCCTATTAAATATTTTTAGGATTGCAGTCTGAATGCCTTATGTTGTTGGTAATGTTGGGAAGAGGATAGAGTTTTATTTATTAAAGCAATTTTATCCCACTCCAGCAAAAGAAAGAAAGAAGCTGGCAGAGTGGCCTAGATTATAATAAAAGACACAGTCTACCTGCAAACTTTACTTCTAAAAGATATTTCATAAAAGAAAAGGGTATTAGGAGGGAAGAGAAAAACGAGGAAACTCAGGCACCAGTAAAAGGCCTGTTTTGTAGCTGTATCTTTGTTGTTCTTGAATTGCCAATTATTCTGGTCCAGTATAATACATGGTAGCAAAATTTCTCTGAACGCAGACACATACTCACAAATGGACCTCATAATTTCAAGGACTGGCTCAAAAAATATGTGCTATACCTCCCTCCTCTTGCCCCAAATCTCTTTGTGAAAGATGTTAAGAATTCAGTTATAAGATACCATCTCCAGCTAAGTTACAAAGATATGTGGCTCTTTGTCTGTTCAGAGCATCTGCATCCTCTATTTTGCTTCCTCAAAATTCTATTTGCTCAACTCCCAGGTTCAAGTTCTTTAGTTCAATGAGAAATAAAGATTATTATTTTTTTGTATTGCAAGATACAGTACTTATATGACAATGAGCCACATGGGTAGCAGTCGAGCCTGCTTAAAAGTCCTTGGAGCTCAGAATGCTATTGGAACCACATCAATTATAATAAATAGGCCTCTGGTAAAGAACTACAACTTCATTCTGTCACAGGCATGTACAGTTTGTGTGCATGTCTGAATGTTGCAGATGTGTGCTAAGAAGTGGAAGCAAGATGCTTTTAAATCCAATGTACGTGCCAATCTACGATTGATTTTTTTTTTTTAAGTGCAGGCATAGGGACAGCCCCCTCCTCCTTACTCAATCAGAAAACAAAACAAACAAACCCTGCAGAGGAATCTATAGTTGACTCAATAAACCTGAAAAGATCAGACTTTGTTGGGGAACTGGACATGTGAAGGCAAAAGTATGTCGAGGGATGGTGGCACATGTGGGGACACTGAGAGGCAGTTACAGCAGATTCTGATGTACTGGATCCCACAGCCAATAGGAGTTCCAGACTCTTACATTAAAAAAAACCCCACAAATCTTCTTAGAAAGAAAGTTATAAATCAAACTGTGCAGGCAACCTTCTAAGCTATTTCTGAGAGATAAGACTAGCTTCTCCTGCATTTCAGTGCTTTTAGCCAATGAATGAAGTCAGCTGTGATTGACAAGTGAGTTGTTTAGACATCAGGTGAAAGAAACCCCTGGGGTCCTAAAGAGCAACCATTTCCCCCTCCCCTTTAGCGTTCTTTTCTGTTTCTGTGAAATCTACGTAGCAGCTAAGCACCAGGCACTTGTAAGAAGTCACTGCAAAGTTAATTTACAGTTTATGGCATACATATTCATAAGTAAGTCTCCTTGTGTTTAATGGGCCATACTCCTAGGTAAGTGAGTACCGGACTGTAGCCTGGGCTTTGGTTTAGAGTTGGCATTGGGGAAAAGCAGGATTCTTGTGCCTTTAAGAGCAGTGAGGCAGACAGAAATTAACCAAGCCAAGCTTTTTCTAGTCTGGAAATACAATTATAAGGGAAAGTTTCACCTGTCAGACATTTTATGCTATGTGTGGATTTGGTGGCCCTCCACATCATCTGCAAAAGAGGATGCAAATTTCCGTATGACACGAAGCAAATACAAACCCTACACAAATCTGAATCCTGTTTTGTGTGTGGGTCAGAGGGCCCAATCCATATACAGTGTACAGAGCCCAGAAAATCCTGTTGACCCCTCCAGGCACATGCTGCAGCATCTACCCCCACCATTATATATCTCTGGGGATGCCTGCTCCACTACAACCCTTGTGTATTTAGTGTGAACATCTGAAGGGTCGTGTAAGCATGTTTGTCCGAACATTGTTTACAAGCCTTCCAAGGAATATTGTAAGTGGGTGCAGGAAAACATGCTTACAAGCCGATTTCGCACCCTTGCACTAAATCCTTGGAGGTTGGGAATGGATAAAGTGTGTCATGTGTGGTGTGCCTCTGCCTCATTGCCTAATTTTGCCCTTACCTGCCACGGCTGAGTTCCTGAGGGGTACGAAAGCAGCAGTTCACTCAATAACCCATATATTAGGCATGGGACTTTACACAGTTAGACATGTGGCTTTAGGTGGGACACTTTTAAGAGACAAACATTCCTTAAGCTCTTACTGGTTCCCACAGCAAATCAAAAGGGCAGAGGCTGACAGATAATGGCTTACCTAAAGCCACCTATTAAGTTTGTGGCGAGATTCAGGTAGTGGGATTCAAGCCAAACTATGAGCGATGTGAGGTTCATTGCATGACTGGAATTTATATGCAGCCACCAACTGGGGTGTGTGGGTAGGACTGTGCCGCAGGTGGGGGGGGGGGTCAAACCTTTTCCTACCCACCAGAGTCTTGATTAACCATTTCCCTCCAAAAGTTCTATTAGCTCCTTTCCAATGGTGCCAACAGAAGATTTCCTCCCAGGACTTAGAGCAGCTGGCAGGACGATGAATGCTAAATGGCAATGTCTTCTGCACACCGTTCAAAATGATTTGCTGGCATTGCAAAATTGAAGACTGCCATGTTTCAATTTCTGTCTGCTCTCTGATACCCCAAGAACCTGCCATGTTTCATTTAAGGTATGGGACAGATCTGGGTTGCAAGCCAGACTCTGATACAGTGGTACCTCTAGTTGCGAACTTAATTCGTTCCGGAGGTCCGTTCTTAACCTGAAACTGTTCTTAGCTAGAGGCGTGCTTTCGCTAATGGGGCCTCTTGCTGCCACTGCACTGCCGGCACACG